ACGCCCAGCCTGTACGCCCCAGCTACACTATGCATCACCCCAGGAGGCATGGGTTGCCACCATCAGGTCCTCTCAGAAATCCACTCTACCACCTTCTCCAGGAGCCCCCTTCCTCTTCTGAATTCCTCCTAGAACTCCTTCTTAGCACTCTGCACATATCACCTTCTTTTACCATAACTTGACAGTGTCAGACATCCTTCCTACTAGACATAAGCACCCAGAGGGCAGGGGTGCTGCCTGTCTCCAGGGTTAAGTACACGGAGCCTGAAGCATCTGCTGGCTCCAAAAATGAACGACACTCCCAGAATAGAAGCAGGCCACAGAAATATGCAAGCCTCTAAATAGTATGCAGCCAAGGCAAAAATAGGGGCAAGCAGCGCTGGGTGTGCTCAGTTATAATCCACCAGGACATTAGGCCAAGCTGTGGGAAATACTACCTAATGGGAAACCTTACCCCCAGCACATCGCAGGATCAACTCCAGTCATCGCCCGAGTCTGTGGTTTCTGCACGGACATCCCAGAGCTAGGATGTTCTCTTAGGAGAGAACAGGAGTGGCACAGAGACAGCGGGTCACAGATGCTCCCACAAGGGAAGGGGCAGCAAAGGATTGGGTGGGAGACTTCAGAGAGATCTGGGCGCACACAGGGGCTGGGACCCTTCCTCTGTTCCCTCCAGCTGAGATTCACGTTCCACAAGGGGCAGCTTTGCAAAGCACTCCAGTGGTCACTCTTCTCGCCCCAAGTCTCTTTCTCAACGCTCAAACCCTCCAGATCGCCAAACCATGTCTGAGAACGCCAGGTCTTGCCAGATCAGTCTCATTACTGAATGAGTTAGGTTATTGTTTCTTAATTTAAACTTACTGTTATCATCAGGTATAACTCACAAACACTTGGTTAGTTAACGCATTCAAATCGAAATCAAAACTTCAATTAAACTGAAGATTCACTACCACCATTTAGGATCTTAAAAAAGAAAAAAGAGAGAGACAGAGAGAGAGAGAGAGAGAGAATTGTCTCTAAGAAGGGCCTCCTACAGGGCAAACTTCTAATTAAACAAATTGTCAATTTCAACACAATGCAAACTGATTTAGGAGTATAAATTTGGTATTCCAGTCACTGAAAATAAGGCCTCACAGTGCCGATCTCACACAGGCTGATTTCCTCGGGTAGGGAAACGCAGAGGAGAGGAGGGAGATAATTCGAGAAAGAGGAATGCTGGGGAGGAACGGTGAGCCAGAGCGCGCTATCTTTTCAGAAATAATATCTCGGCAGAATTCAATGAGGCCTGTTCTCAAGCACTGGAGAAACTCCTTCTTGCCTCCTCCTTCACCCCACCCCTACCAGATGAGAAAAAAAAGAAATTAATGGCGCATGATGACAAACTTGGCCCGGCACTCACTGTACACACTGTACCCACAAGGCTGGCGCCCGGCCAGGCCTGGCCCGGCGCCAGGGCTACAATAACAAACACGGCCACGCTCGCCAAGAGGGGGTGGGCGGCGCACGCAGGGCCCGCGAGGGGGTGAGCCTGCGCGCTCCCAGGAGGAGAGGCAGTGGGACGAGCCTTCTCGGGCGAAGATGGCCTTCGGGGGACGTCAGCAGCTCCCCGACCCCGACCCAGAGCCCAGACCCCCTTCTCCCACGCCTGCCCCCTTTGCAAACATGGTCGCCAGGGCAGCTCCAGTTCGGTGCCACTCCGCCCTGCTGCTGCAGCCCCTGCTGAGCTCCTCCAAGGCGGGGGTAGCCCCCCAGATGCTCAGGGGCCATCCTGGCTGTCTGCTCCCTGCACGGAGCCTTCAAAACGGAGCGGCAAGAAAACCTCACGTCATCTAATTAAACGTCTCCTCGAAGACCGCACATAGTTCTGTTATCATGCAACTGGGGGGAGGACCTGGAATGAGGAAAGCACAACTTCTGCTACTGGAATCTGGGAGAAGACCTGGCACCCTGGCCCAGCCCTCCCACCCCACCTCCCGGACACAGCCAGGTCTCTCTAGAGGGCTCAGGGCCTTCAGTGTTTGGGGGGGGGGGGCGGGTGAACAATTCAAGATCTAGCCTCACGAAGCCTGTCGCTGTTTTCTTCTCAAGCCATCCTGACACAAGGGTGAGAGGTATGTGGGGCCAGAGAAAGGAAAAACAGAAGAGAAAAATCAGAGTCAAAGCAAGCTCTGAGCTATCTGCAAAGGCAGACTAAGGCCCTGCTGTGACCTCCCCCATCACCAAATCCTCTTTTACAAGGGCAGTGGCAAGTGAATTTCAGAGGGACAAATCATTTGCACAGACTCCAGGGACATAGATGAAAACCTAGGAAAACAGGCCCCAGGGTATATCCAAGACTGGGGGACCTTGAAGCAGCACTCGGTCATGGGGTGATGCATTACTCATCTTGTCGGACCTGGGGCCCCTGGACCCACCTGAATGTGAATAAGCAGCTCCTCCTCCTTCTGCCACTCCACCCACCCTACCCACACTCCTGAAGAACTGGGTTCACAACAGAGACCTCATCTAACTCACACGAAGCCAGTGCCCTGCAGTGAATCCTAGAGACACAGTCTAAAGTCTTTCTGTTGCAGGAGAGACCCAGCGAGAGACTGGAGCTTTCTTAAGTCGCCTGGCTTCCCAGGTTGTAGTAATCCATTCAACCAGCATCTAGAGACTCCAGCACTGTACCAGGTAACGTGCTGCACATCATGAGGACAGACCCTGTCCCCAAGGAGCTTATTCCAGTCTATTAGGGGAAAACTGAGGGAAAGGGAAGTTACACTTCCTGAGAACCTATCATGTGCCGGGCAGAGTGCTAAGTATCTAACGGAGCCTTGCGTTCAGAGGTTCAGATGGCTTACATTTCTTGCCCAAAGTCACATGGTTAGGAAGAAGATGCCCAAATTCCTAACCCTGACTCCCAAGTAGGAGGAGATAAGGCAAGTCCATTAATAACAATAACACAGAGAAGAAAGACTGTACCCAGAGACAGCTTCAGATAAAGAAATACGGACTTGAGAAGAAGGCTTGATCGCTTCTGGCCGGAGGTGGGGGACAGTCAAGGATGGGATCATTCTAGAGACCTTGGAAGAGCTGGGAAGACTGGGGACGGGTTATTCCCTGCACAGGGATGGGGTAAACAGAGCCACAGAGCTCGGCGAGCAAGCTGTGCTGGTCGGCACACCAGCGCCAGTCACACCGACCAGCACACGAGTATGGCTTGCACATTAGACTCCAGGAAACAATGAGGACCAAGGGAGCTTACTGGGCTGTTACAGAGCGTGCGAGGAGGCCTGATCCGCAGGCTGCATCACCCGCAGGGAAGTGCCCGACAGCACGTGCTGCAGAGACCAACACAGATGCCAAGAAGCAGGGAACAAATGAAACTAAAGACCAGGAGAGGGTGGCCAACCTGTGGGCAGACAGCTCACGGGACCCCTCACTAAATCCTGAACAACCTGCAAAGAGAAGAGGAGCAAGAAGACAGCAGGTGCAAGTTACAAAAACAAAACCCAGAGAGCGCACAGGTACCCAGCTTGATGCCAAGCTCAGGAAGGCCTGGACTCAGGACTCCCGGCCAACGTGGGGCAGGAGGGGGATGAGGATGATGCCCTGGGGCCAGGTGTGGGGGAGGGGAGGCCCCAGGGAAAGGAAGAGAGGAACACAAAGCTGCGGGGACAGGGTGGACACAGACACACCCAGCTGCCTGGCGTGGCCCAGTTCCTGAATCTGGAAGCGGGAAGAATGGGAAGGAGTTGGAGCACTTGATGCAGGGCCACGAAGGCCAGCGAGAGGGACAGCATCCCACACATGGCAGAGGCACCGGGGCTGGCAGGAAGGCAGCGCGAGCAGAGGCACGTAAAGCTACCAGCAGCACGACCAAGGCGATGGAGACAGTGAGGACAGACCACAGACGTTCAGACTGTCCTCCAGGAGCACGGCGACGGCAACGCTCCAGGGCGACAGCTTCAGAACTGAGGTAAAGCGGGGAAGGTGGAAGCAACCCACATCTATTAAACACCAACTGTAGGTTAAGAAGGGTATGATGCCTTCATCAGACATCTGGCACCGAACTGATAGGAGTTAGCAACACCTGGCCCTTTATACAGAAACCGGGGTTCAGAAGACAAACCTGCCCGAGGTCACAGAGATGGGGATCTGGCCAACCCCAAAGTCCAGACTCACTTCACGAACACTGAACTGCCAGCTGCCGGGAGGGCCCCGTGAGGGAGGCAACGTGGAAAAGGACAGCAGATGCTGAGCGCGGACAAGGTGGGAAAGAGTAAGACCAGACGAGAAGAGAGTCAGTCTTCTCCCCTAAAACGTGACTCCAGAGTCAAAAGGCTTCAAATTAGAGGGAAAAGAGCACTGGCCCCAGCAGGGAAGCGTGGCGGCCTCTCCCACTGAACCCAGGCAGTCCCTTTGGCCTCAAGGCAGCAACCTTGGACCTACCGTATCCGCCCCTCCACCAAGAACGCCAGGGCACGCTGCCTGCCTGCTTCTCTTCCCTTCACGCCTCGTGGGGCAGAGAAGCTTTGCCCAAACACGAGCAAAAAACACCCGCAGCCGCAGAGTCGACCCCACCAGAATTGGATTAAAATTAACTTGCAAAAGACAGCACGCTGTAACTAGCTTTGTGTTCCAACCTTTCTATATCTATTTAATTAAAGGCTCCTGTATAATGTGAACCCAATAGTCAGATTCATTAGACAGCGAGAACCTAATTCCACAACTGTTCTGCTAATGAAACTGCAGTCTACTTGGGAAGCTGGCTCACACAGGGCACTGGGTACCCACGATGCCCCAGGAAGCCCAGGAGGGCAGAGGATGGACCCATCCAGACGGTCATGTGGTCAGGATGGGCTTCTCGCTCCAGGAGCCTGGAGGGAGCATCCACGGGACAGGGCAGACCAAGGCCCGCCGGCGATGGGGACATTCGCGCTCTGGGTGGGGGAAAGGCAGGCAGGCAGGAGGTGGGCGTCCGGGCTCAGGGGGGCGGTCAGGGCACCCGCGCCTACCTGAATGAGCCAGTAAGTGCATTCTCAGTCGCAGACTGTCCAGGAACCGCTTTCCGCAGAGCTCACACCCGTACGTCTTCATCCCGCTGTGCAGTTTCCTGCAGGAAAGGAAAAGACAGGTTGCTGCCGCTCTGATTGCACAGAAAGCAGGCCCACCCTCACCAGGGGAATTTGCAGCCACCCTCCAGTAGGTGGACAGGAGGAAGGGGGAGACAGAGGGCGCGGGAGCTGGAGGTGGGCCCTGACACATCCGCAATCCCACAGGTGGCCCAGAGCCCCGTTACCCGTGGATGGCTGCCAAGGTGGCAACTACACCTGGTCCTGTCCAAGGCCTAGAAGGATAGGGCGTGCCCTAGCGCTTCACCCCGTGGCACAGAGACCAAGGGAAAAAGTCAGGTTCAACTGTGGAGGGAAGAAGGAGGAAGCCCCAGGACAGCGAGACAGACACAACCTTCAGAGTCGAACAAGCATAGGTCACACATGCAGGCCGAGGTCCCTCTCCTTGGTTCACTCACAGCACAGCCCACTTGAACTGCCATGTGAGAGCCCCCGGCTCCCCCAGGAGACCACCGACCCCAGCGCCCACCCAGCGATGGGCACAGAGCAGTCTTAGTGAACCGAGGCCTTCGGGGACATCAGATGCTCCCCTGAGAGTATCCACGTGTTCTGAGACCCGCCATCACTCTCCAACACACAAAACCTCCCCAAAGGCCCAGCTTCTGATGTGCTTTCCCTCTGCTTCCCACCAGAGGTTGAACCCGGATGGGAAGAAAGGTTTGAAGAAACCAGATAACGTCATTCTATAAACGGAAGGTGGGAGCCGGCGGTGCTGGCTTTCCAAAGTACTCTCATGCACGTTATCTCATTTGACCACCACTGCCATGCTGTGAGGTGGGCCAGCCACCCATGATCATCACCCCAGCATCCCAGGAAGACAGGGGCCCTGGTAACCACTGTTCACAGGTCCAGCCTCTGATCCTGGTCCTTGCCCACCAGACCCCACCGCTCAGGCAGGAGCCAGTGATGGAGCCGGTGAGAGGCAGGGAGGCGGGTGGCTGGCGGGGCAGGTCTAGAGAGTCGGTTGTAGGCTGGCACAGGAGCCATCTGGCCCGGAACTCTACCTTTCCTCCCACCCACACTCCTGTTCTCAGGCTTCTCTGGGCCTCCGCCGGATACGGGATCCACCCCCGCCTTGCCTGCAGCCTCCCCAGGGGCCTCAGCCCCGAGGAACCGGGCAGGTACTGCAGCCAGAGGTAGGAGCTGAGGGCAGTGGGGCGGCAGGCAGGCACGCTTAGGCGAACCACCCATCACAGTTGGGAGGCTGATGTGTTAGGCCCACAGTCAAAGGTTGGAGGGCTGCTGGTACAGGATACTAGATAAACGCAGGTGAGGAGGGGGAGGATTGTACATTCCAGTCAGCGGTGCCCAGATCATGACACTTGGGCCAGCCACCCACGACCAGCACCTTCCAAGTCCCATGAGAACCCAGAGTGGGCCCCGGGGTGAGTATGAGCCCAGGCTGGTGGCCTGAAGACCGTATCTGGGGTCCAGTGTGTGCAGCTCCTGTCGGCGATCACGCCCAGGCCCCTTCGCAGAACTCTTTCTCAATCACAGTTGTGTTTGCTTGCTTTCCCTTTAACCGCGTGCCAAAGCCAACACATGATTTCTCAATCACAAGTACACACACACCCTCATCTGTGACACGGTCGTGCACCCCACCCCCATGCTATCTGATTTGTGGCCGGGGCCGATCCATCCCAGTTGAGAAATAGTAACAGTACAGAACATTTCTACCAAACATTCTCAACTCTAAATATATTTCACAATGCTGGGCACGGGGACATGTCTTAATAGCATTCTGGGCAAAGCGGGTTTTAAAATATGCACCCAGGCGTGTGTGTGTGTGTGTGTGTGTGTGCACCCATGCGTGTGCACACGTAGTAGCTGACTGTGCCTGTCACTTGCCCAGGCAGGACAGGGGTTTGCTTTCCCAAGAGCTGTTCTGTGAAGCAGCTAAAGGTGCACAGGTGGTCCCACAGGGGACTGGTACACATGCTCATGGTCTGGTCAGCCTGGGTTCTAGTCTCCTTTATCTCCACCTTTGTCTGCACTAATGCCTCCCTAGCTTCCAGGAGTGCCCACCTCTGGAGTGGCTGTCAGGAAGAGGAGAACACCCTTTCAGGTTGGCTTTCCCAAAGGACACTGGAGTGTCCCAGCCTTGGGTTTCAGCAGCCACCACCAGGAAAGCATGCCCACCCCCCCGGCCTTGGGCTTCTGTTTCTTCCCCCGGCAGGTTCCAGATCAAGTCTCTCACCCCTACAACCACTTTCAGGGTTACCCCATTGCCTTTTTTGGTGCCAATGGATTTGCCCGGCCACTGGCGTCAGCAGCTTTCTTGGCCAACAGGAGCTGCGTGGTGTGTAGGGCGATGCACTCTTGCCCTCTACTACAGCGGGAGCAGGATGAGGGGAAGGCCAGCAGGGGAGCAGCCAGAAGACCTGGGTTCTGGTCCTAACTTGGTCACTAACTTGCCTTACGTACAACCTTGCCAAGTCCTGCTGTCACAATTTCTCTGCAGTTTTTTTTCACCTGTAAAGTGATGGATGACGTCTAGTGAAAGCCGCTTGGTTGTGTCCACTCTTTGCAACCCCACGGACTGTAGCCCACCAGGCTCCTCTGTCCATGGAATTCTTCAGGCAAGAATACCAGAGCGTGTTGCCATTCCCTTCTCTAGGATATTTTCCCAACCCAGGGATTGAAACCAGGTTTCCCGCATTGCAGGCAGATTCTTTACCATCTGAATTTCATGGAATCAAAATTTTATTATTCAAAAGTCTTACCCATGTCCTTTTACCCAGCTTCCAAGGGATTCCTCCGAGGGGTATTATTACCTCTCTGGTCAGGAAAATCCCCTGGAGGAAGGAATGGCAACCCACTCCAGTATTCCTGCCTGGAGAATCCCATGGACAGAGGAACCTGATGGGCTACAGTCCACAGGGTCACAAAGAGCCGGACATGACTGAGCGAGAGTGCACACACATTATCTCTCTGAGCCATATTCCATTTGTGTGATGTCTCACAACACCTAGGTGGTCAGGCTGGGACAACCCAAGCAAAAACCTGACACCCGTCCCCAGAAATCTATTCATTTTAAATCCTTCTAATCCAGATGACCTAAGTTCCCTCCTTTACCTGCTTGCAGTCTATCTTTCAGTGGAAGAAACGTCCAGAACTCACGAGCAGCCTTTCTATGGAACCACTTTGCTGCCATGCACTTTGCAGCCTCCAGAGACACGAGTGCCCTCTCCTGCCCAAGCCTCGGGGTAAGGAAACTGCCCTGCTCCTGAGCCACTAATTCAGCGCCCCCACACAGGTGCCGAGGGTGGCATCCAAGCGATCCCAGGCGGAGTTCAAGGACTGAGGTCCTGCCTCACTGGCGGAGAGACTAGGACAAAAGCATACAAAGCCCAGAAGAGAGAAGGAGGCACCTCACAGGCCCGGAGCTCAGCGCAGCCCAGAGCCGGTTTGCCCATCTCCTTCGTTACCGTTTAGATGCCAGGAGATGGCTACAACGAGGCAGTGACCTCTCCTAATCCAAAGAAAAGGGAAAAGGCAGAGAAGAATCTGAGTGTATTCAAGGGTCACCAATAGATTCTAAATGGCACCGTCTGTGGGAATGATCAACATGGAAACAAAATCCCAACCGGTTTCTAGAGTAAAAGAACAAACTGTCAGAACTCAGGGTCTGTCTCTCTAGAGCAGTGGTCCCCAACATTTTTGGCACCAGGGACCTGTTTGTTGGAAGAGAATTTTTCCATGGACCACGGGGTGGGGTGGGGGGAACGGTGTGGGGATGATTCAAGTGCATTACAATGATCATGCACTTTATGCCTACTACTGTTACATCAGCTCCATCTCAGATCATCAGGCCTTAGATCCCAGAGGCTGGGGACCCCCGCTCTAGACCACAACCCCTATCACCTCCGTCCCTCACTGTGCCGCTGCAAAGCATTTGATGAAAATGGAAAGTCTGTCCGCCTCTTTCTTCCTGAACCACACACACCTATATTTTCCCAGCCCAGCCATGCCTTCTCACAAGGTCAAACTGCTCGTGGCCATCCGAGGTCATCAGCCTCCACTGGAACACAGGAAAGGAGGACAGCTCGGGACATCTTTGCACCTTTCTACGCCTGCTGCCTTGGTTTTCACACTCTCTTCTCAGAGAAGCAATAGCACCGAACACAGTTTTGAAAGTAACCCAGTTCGAGACGGCCCAAGCCTCTCCACACTCTAGTCGGCAGAGAGTCCAATCCCCCCACAGGCTTCGGGGCCCCACCACCCACTCTCGGGGAGCAGGCTCAGATGCTCCCCAAGCCCCACTGCTGCCCCAGCACGTCCACACCTGACTCATTGGGTAAACTCACCCTGAAGGCAAGAGATTTTAAATTCAGTCCAAGAAGACAAAAAAAAAATTAACCTCTAACAGGTTTCTAGCTATTTTCTCAAGAGAGTTGAATCATTATGAGAAATCAGAAGTAAGCTAAGACGAACTTTTTAACAAGTAACTGGAGAGAACGACACGCTCCTCACTGATTCTCAACCACACAATTCTCGCCCAGTAAAACCAAGTCAGCAAGCTGCACGCTCATTCAAACCACTTTCGTGCTGTTATGACCCTGAACGTTCATAGTCATGTGCTTTAGGCTGTAACTACGTAATGGCAGAGGCCCTGTTTCGCTTTCCTTTTATTCATAGGGCCTAGTTTAGAAGCGACTGCTCAGTGCTGCCAAAGAAATTCCAGACAGCCTCCTCTCATCTGAACACTGTGCCGAGCACAAGAGCTTCATGGACACCTCCAACCCAGAGCTGGACCTTTGATTGTGCCCCTGAAGCCACGCATGGAAGGCCAATGGTGACATCACGGTTGCACAAAGCCTGAGTTTCAGACCAACCTCACCTCGGGATGAGTCTTCATCTCCCCACTAGAACACAATAGGAGAGTAAGTGGAAGCAGGCAAAGACCGATGCTAGACGCCATCCTCACCTGCCCAGCCTCCAGGGACAGCGGTCCATACCAGCTGCTCCCTAAGGGGCGCCC